ATTCTCTTTTTGAAAGAGCTGTAAATGCTTTAACAAATGCATAATTAAAGAAAATGTTATTATATATCATATGAAGTGTAGCTGAAAAACATTAATAAAATATAAATAATACAATAATTTAATAATATTTTTATAAATGGATAAAAAAATTAATTCTTTTTATTAATTAACACTTTTTTCGATTTAATAATTAATAAATCATGTGACTTTATCAGCCAATAGAATTTTAGCAATAATAAAAAATGATCTGCGAAAATTGACCAATCATAATGAAAGTTCGTTCGCTATGCTGGTTAAGATTAGTTCGGATGCGGTATATAACGTGTTTATTATATGAATTCGTTATATCCAGTCTGATTAATTATAAAATAATCGGATCGGTAATACATGGTTCAGTATAACGAATTTTCGGTATAAACAAGTTCGTTATATCCAGAGCCGACTGTATTACTTTTTTCATGTACTGTACCACCGATTTCTGACATGAAATTTTGCCGTAAATTTGCCGATTTATTTGTAATAGAATTACACAAACAACCATATTTTTTTAAAACGGAAATTTTTAAGTTTTCGTACCCAGTATTATAACTAGGAAAGGGATCGCTGTAAGTCTTAATCGCAAAAGTTAATCATCACGTGAGCGGACAGAGTCTTTCGCTTCGCTCAAGACAAATTAATTTATAATATATTATACAATTTATAGTTAATTTATGCAGATTTATCTAAACGTTAGTTTTCTTTTGTTGATCTATCTATATTTTTATATATTTGCTTATTAATGTTTTATTTCGTATTTTTTTTTTAATTGGATTCTCTTTCAGGTTCGAGATGGAAAATCTGGGTACTGTTAAATTTTTTTTTTTTTTGATTAATTATTATTTTTTGATTTTTGATTAATTCTATTTATTTATTTTTAATTTAGTAAACTAATTTAATTGAAGTTTTTTATTGTAAATTTTAGTTAAAATTTTAAAATAAATTTTATAAACCACGCATTGATAAAAGTTTTAATTACAAAAAATATATGTACATTGTTTGAGCATCTTAAGAATCGTTTTTGAATCAGCTACACGAAAGAGTATTGAAGCAATATCAACTATTTCGTTTTCGAATTATTTTTATGAGAATATATTTAGAAAGGATCGGCGACAATAAACTAAATGTTATTTTTTGTAGACAAATTTGTAGAATATTACAATAGCATGTTAATTTTAAAATGTAAAAATAGAATTTTATAAGCTTCGTGGAAAATTCGCTATAAAAACTATTCTAATATGATTAAAGTTGTAATGAAGTCATTGTATTTTGGTTATTATTGTTTAAATGACCTATCCGTCACAAAATATGAAAGTTTGTCGCCCTGGCTGCATTAGTATTTCAAAAATAGTTTATTAAGTAAATGTATTATTTAAAAAAATATATATATATTTATTACTCTTCGCTTTCTAAACTTCTACAATTATTATAAGTTATTTTTTCTTTTTAATCTGGAATACTTCATAATCTTCCATGGAAAATTTATCCTCAGTATTTCTTATCTCTTTTTCGTAATTACGTCGTTTTTGACACAGGATATTTTCAAAATTTTTATCGGAATTACCATAACATTTGATATCATCACCAAATCCAGGACCATCCGATGCGCCAGCTTTAATTGCACGGTCTTTATCCTTGACCTTGCTAAAGATGGCATCTTTTAAACCAAATTCCTTACTCCTAATTGAGAATATAAAAGTTTTTTCTGTGCCGAGCCAATCACCTTGAGAGGACCATTTTATAGGATTATACCCACCAATAATTTCATTGGTTCCTTTAATTTTTATAAATGTGACGGTATTCTCTTTATTATCGCATAAGGAATGAAATTTTTTTGGAGTAAATCCATCTCTACTTCCTCGTAAAATTAGGTTGAATTCATAAGGTAAGTATAACTTCTCTCTAACAGGAAATTTCCTCTCGTGCTTTACGTTATCAATCCATTTTGAAATTAATGAGACAATATCAATATTAATGATTTTCGTATTAAATATTCTTGGGAGGATCGCTATTAGGATCCAAGAAATATTTTAATAAATCTTCATAAAGGTTCGGTTTAAGCATTTTTTTGTAAGGATGAACTTGTTCCAAAAATTCTTTGGAGGATAAGCTAAAGAATCTAATATGAGGTAAGACGTTCTTTAAAGTACTTTGCATTAATTTAAATTTCTCATCTGTCCAATTCGAAGGATCTAGCTTTAATGTGGGATTTCTCTTAAGACCCCATTTTAATACGGACAACCAAATTTCAATTTCTTCAATTTGTAAATCACTTTTTTGTAATAGAGGGACTAATGATTTTTCGTCGAGAGAGGTAAAATCCGACGACTTTAATATTTTATCCGGATATGAAGACATCAGGTTTATGCAATATTGTTGCAATTCTGTAAAACAAATCGATTTTAGACTTGTTTTGTGAACCAAGTCAAAATTTTTATCAATCCATTCGGACTTTTCCTCAATCAAATATTTTTGTAAATAATCCACCAATTCTTGCAAATGAAATTCATCTGCTACGAGTAATATTTTAATAATTTCTGAAATGTTATCGTAACCATTTAATGAAAGGATTCCGCCATAAATATATCTGTTAAATAAGCGCCATAAAGAAAAGGTTTTGAAATATCTTTTAAAATAATGATAATTGGAAACGTAATATGTAAAACTACTTACTTTAAAGTAATTTCAAAAATCTCTGGTGAAAATTTTTGAAATTTCATACGAAACAAGCCATCATCAATTTTCTTCTTTTCAGAAAAATGTCGTCTGAAATATGGAGAACGATAACTCAAAATGATAGCATGTGCACGAAATTCTTTCATATGGGCATCGTCTCCAATTTCAAACAAAACATCATAATAATCATTATCATCTAATATTTCAATATAGTTCTGACTTAATTTCGAAAAAAATTGTTTAGACATGACCTTTGATATAGAAATTTTTTTTTAAAAAAGTCGGTAAATGTAGTAGTAAATGCCCACCTTTTAATATAATGTAAAATTTGGCCAGATTAAAAGTTTGATGTAACGATGCTGTAAATGTTGGTCAAATCAAGTTAAAAAAAATATGAGGAAGTTGATGTAATTTGTAATATGAAAAATGATGATATAATTTGGGAACGATTAACTACATTTGCTAAGTTAACTCACTAGATGGTAGTGTTGTATTCCTTTCTTTCGTTTATTTATTTATAAACAATTTTCAATGTAAGCAAAAGATTTTTATTGAGTAGAAATGAAGTAATGTTGAAGCTTTATTTATTTAATAATATCAATATAATCAATGTTGCCTCAACATCGGCGCTCTACACTTTCGCAATATCAATATATTAAACTAAATAAATGCCAATCAATAAAACTCTAATTAATTAAAACTGTGGCAATTACGAAAAATAAAATCGGGGAATTAAAAATAAACGAAATTACAAATTTTGAAAGTTATAATGTAAAGACGGAGAAAGCGAAAAAAAATATCGCGAAGGGATTAAAGGAAGCTTTTCAAGGTGTATGTATGCAAATACAAGAAGGGCGAGCATGGAATATTGATTTGTTTAAGGATTTCCGGCTCGTATTTATAAAAAAAAAAAAAATTATTAGGACAGCCTGGCATCCTGTCATTTTGTCATAATGACATCAATCGTTGCCGAACCATATTTTTGAGATTAATATCCTTTTAGAATAGATAATTCTACCCTTTGAATTTTCCTACCGATTAAATTATTATTTGTTTCCAAAAGTTGAAATAATTTTTTTGTATTACGGTAAACGTTCCACTAAATATCTTTTACCTATCCAAATTTAGTTAAACCGTTAATCACTTAAAAAGGCACCAATTGCCGACTTTAATTTTTTTTTTTCACAAAAAATGTCGAAACAATTTTTTTCGAAATTAAGTCAGAATTTTACTGAAATATTAGATAATGATAATGATTATCAGGATGTCATATTTGAAGTTGGAGAAAACTTTCATATAAAAAGTTTTCGTGCACATGCTATTATTTTGAGTTATCGTTCTCCATATTTCAGACGAAATTTATCTAAAAGGAAAGATGGGGATAATAACTTGTGTCGTATGAAATTCTCAAACATTTCACCGGAACATTTTCGAATTATTTTAAAGTGAGATTTTAAAATTTTTTTTTTTTTTTTTTTTTTAATAATGGATTTATCATCATTATTTCAAAGTAAAGAATATTAATTTTTCAAAAACTTTTTTGAATTCAAGATATATTTATGGCGGTTCTTTTATATTCTCTGATTATGATAACATTTCGGACATCATTAAATTATTACTCGTAGCAGATGAATTTCATTTACAGGAATTGTTGGATTATTTACAGAAATATTTGATTGATGAAAAGTCCGAATGGATTGATCAAAATTTTGACTTGGTTCACAGAACAAGTCTAAAATCGATTTGTTTTACAGAATTGCAACAATACTGCATAAATTTAATGTCATTCTATCCATCTAAAATATTTAAATCATTAGATTTTACCTCGCTTGACGAAAAATCATTATTATCATTATTAAAAAAAAAGTGAATTGCAAATGGAAGAGGTCGATATTTGGTCGTCCGTATTAAAATGGGGTCTTAAGAGAAATCCTACGTTAATTCCGGATCCATCAAATTGGACGGATGATGAATTCAGATTAATGGAAACTACTTTGAGTAACGTCTTGTCTCATATTAGATTTTTTAGTTTATCTTCTAAAGAATTTTTAGAACAAGTTATTCCTTACCAAAAATTGCTTAAACCTAAGCTTTACCAGGATTTATTAAAATATTTTTTAGATCCTGATAGTAAACCTCCTAAAAATAATTATCTGGCTCCTAGATATTATGGAAAATTTGATACAAACATAATTAATATTGATATAGTTTCATTAATTTCAAGATGGGTTGATAACGTCAAACATGAAAGAAAATTTTCCGTTAGAGAAAAGTTATATTTGCCTTATGAATTCAACTTATTATTACGAGGAAGTAGAGATGGGTTTACCCCTAAAAAATTTCATGAGTTATGTGATGGTAAAGAAAATACCGTCTCTTTAATAAAAGTTAAAGGAACCGATGAAATTTATGGTGGATTTAATCCTTTAAAGTGGGCTACTGATGGCGATTGGCTCAGTACCGAAGAGAGTTTTATATTTTCTTTTAGATGTAATAGTTTTGGCTTAAAGGATGTCATCTATAGTAAAATAAAACAGAAGGATAAAAAGTATGCATGTCGATTAGCTAAATGGGATGGTCCAGGATTTGGTGAGGACATCAAGATTTATGGTGATCCAAATAAATCTTTTGAAAATGTTTATTGTCAACATAATTATTATGAAAAATCGATAAGAAATACCAAGGATAAAATCTCTATAGATGACTATGAAGTATTTCAAATTAAAAAAATAAAATAATTGTAAGAATTTTATTAGGTAATTTTACAAGACTTTTCGTCATATTTAAAATAAAATAAATTAATTGCCTTTATTAAAGTATTTTAATTACTACTAGGTAACGGGAACCGTTGAAGCGTCCTAAGCAATATATTAATCAAATAAAAAAAAAAAAAATGCAAATCAGGGTATTTTTAATCAAATGATGCAAACACGAATTTTATACACTGAAGAAAATTTATATCATAAAAAAAATATTATTTTTTTACTTTATTCGGCGAAAAGTTTACAGTACAATAATACACGCTATGTAACACTAAATCGACATCGTGCTCAAAATATTATTCGTCAATCAACATGCAGGACAAGAACATTGCATTTGAAATGCCTACAAGTAAAATGTCCTCCGCTATGCTTCGGACATTAACGCGTTTTTTCAGCAATTCTTTCTACGAGTCATATTTTATAGTTTAAAATCGTTATGCTGGCATCGTAGTTTTTTTTCAAAGAGTTACCTTTCTTAAATCATTATTGTTTCACTTTTTTTATTTATATTGCATTTGTACGACTATGTCCAATTTTAATTATTAAAATGCTTAATTTTAAATTGCCGATCTTTTTTTTCAAAAAAACTTTTGGTAATTTATTATAAAAATTAGTTTATCATATAGTTAAGCAGGTTCTGCTTACATAAAATCATTAAAAAAAAAAAATTTGACAGAGGGTCTCGGAGGTACATTTTGCTAGTCCATGACCATATCATCCGTTATCTCCTAATTTCGTATGTGGGTTATTTATTTAGGTAATAACGATTCGGGTGAATATTTTAATAAATTATTAAAATACGAAATTTCAAAAGAATAGATTCTTGGAATCAGTCCGGATTCCCCAACCCTAGGCTTATGAGTTATATTTCATCGAAAATTTATATTACACCGCAGTTTTTTACAATATCGGCATCCACATCAATATTGTAATATATGTATTGCTTAATCTTTCCGAATTACTTTAAATTGTTTCTTATTTCAACAATATAATTGGTATTTTGTAACAAATATATAATGAATTGGTTGTTAAAGTAGAAACTGTTGAAAGAAAGTTCAATTAGTAATTTAAAATATCCGAATGTCTGAATATCCTGTTATCCAATATTAGTTTAAATTTATTATTTTTATTGGATACTATTTATAATAATTTTTACTAAATGACGAAAAGAATGACGAACATTAATAATGATAAAAATGAAATAGTTGCGCAGCTTATGGGATTTTCTTAAAAGATAAGTAGAGGAAAAAAAGTTTTTGTGTTGAGTTAGTGAAAAAAAAGGGTGATAATTATCTCTAGAAATAAAGTTAGTTCTATGGTAAAATAATCTTGCGTCTATTTTCTATAATAAATTTTCATTATTTTCCACAAATTGTTGCATGATCATGATGTCATTAGTTTAACAATTCACCTCTCTTTTTGTAAATGTTATAGCCCGTGTATTTCTATTATTGTATATTTTCTATTTTTATTATTTAATTAATTTCAATTGACTAAAAAGTTTAGTGCGATCTAAAACTATAAATAATTACTACGGTTACCTTTTTTGGTAGTATTTTTAAATATTGTTGTATAATTTTGGAAATATTCGGTTTGATCTCCGATTTACATAAATTATATCACATCAATTTGGTAACCTTTTCCTGTAAATAAAAATTTACTACTTTTCTATTCGCTGTTCAATAAAATTCTATTAACTGAATGATAACCGTTCCGTTATAAATTCCTTTATAAATCACTTAACTTTTTGACGAATTCATTGATAACTAAAAAAAAATTTATTTTCTTTTTGCTCATAACAAATAACGAATTACAAAAATGAGTCTAAAATGCGGACAACTTCTTGCAATTATATTCTCGGGTGGCGTGTTAGGAGCGATAACTTTAAGTCTCAGCTCGGTGACAATTCCAGAGATAGAGCTGGTACCAGATCGTTTAACTGGATATCCAACATGGCATGGAGTGTATCAAGGTGATTTTTTTTTTTACTTTTGTTTTAATAACTTGATAAATTGATGATAAAAACTTAAAAATTAACAATTATCATTCATCATTAGGATTTGATAGACAGAAAAATGACTCAATGATCACCTTCGCCTCTGCTTTCATGCTCGTGGTTGGTATGATTGGCTTGAAACTGGTTCTCAATCCACCGACAAAGACCAGCTTTATCACTAGATTTTACACCGTTTCCGATGATCCTGATGATAATAACAAAGAAAGCATTTCCGGAGTGCCAACAACTGGTTTCAATCGTTCACTTGTAATTTACACTTTTGCTACATTCGTAACTGCGATTGCAGCTCTATTATTTGATATAGGAAAGTTATGGAGTGTAATTGCTGTATCACATAATACTCTTGAACTCACAACTTTACTCTTGATTGGAAGTGGTGGTAGAATAAAGAACGTTTCATACTTCGTATGGATGTTTATTTATATCATATCTGTTGGCGGTATTTGCGTCTTTAATGATTTTCCGATTGATGCTCTTTTTTTTAAAATTCAAGGTTAGTGTTTTTATACGGACACGACTTTTAAATTCAATCGTTATTTTGTTACTTTATTTATTTTATTTTTTTTTTTTTAAAAAAAAAAAATATAATTCGCTCTTTAGGATTAAGCATGGATTATGCTTTGGTTATTGAGTTTGTGCGCGTCTATATTACCACAAAGAAACACCTTCAAGATGCAGGA